CTGCGTGTGAAAACAATGCTTGGATTTCGAGGAAGCGTTGCCACTTCCCTCACTGTGTCCTTTTGCATCCAGGCCTTCATGTCTTGGAAGGTGTTGATACTGCGAAGCTTACTGTTGCCTCCTGCTTTCGGTGCTCAACATTTCCAGATAAAACACGTTCAACTTGCAGGCATGTGGCCACGCACAGGCTCCGTTCCGCACATCCGCTTGCTAGCTCTTGCAATGGCAGCAGCGCAGCAAGATGGAGTCGGTGAAGCGTCCGACCGGCAGTTGACCTCCTTCAGGGTGCACCGCGTGAGCGGGGAACTGCTCGAAGTGGAGGTGCCGCTCCAGGCCCGCTCTCTTCAGAGAAACCGAGACTTGAAGCACTGCCTCGCCAGAAATGACTACTGCAGCTGTCCTGCAAGTAGTGTTGCTCTACCCTGTTCTGACGTGCGAAGTTCAGAGACCTCAGACCAAGCATTTTAAGCTCGCACGCGCAGTTGTGTATGGATAGATGCCGTCTTCCAGCAACTACATTTCTTTGACACACACGATGAGATTTCAGCAGAAGCTAAGGAGGGCCATTATCTGTACTAGTGTGCGAATGCAGTCGAAGCGGGTATAGTTTTGAGAATAGCCCATGTGCACTCCAGACATCACTTGGCTCTTCAGGCCTTCTTTTTGGGAGGAGTTGCGCGTATTCGTGCTTTCCACCTGGCCCTTCTTCGAAGCCTCACTTGGAAGAACATGTAGGCTAGTGTTTTGTCGAGCCATTTCACTCCTCAGGACCTGGTTTGAAGTAAAAGGTGGACAGAGCTCTGGTAGCCGTGCCTGTATGTTTTCTCAGCCCGTGAGCAAAGGCTTGGCTGGAACGCCCTTCCTCATCTGCCACATGCGGCTGATACACATGGACAGCGGCCTCGAGGTTCATGACGATCATATCAATTGGGACTGGTTGTCGACAGGCTGGATTTGAAACGAATCGCGCGCCTGAAATTTCCGCGGTTCGTACAACGCCTGTGCGGTGTTTAATTTCATCCTTCCATTCGGCAAATGTCTCCAGTTTCCAGCTTGACTAAGGCCAGTCAGAAGCAGGTGAGATAAAGAAATGCTCGGAACAGGATTTGATTTGACTCCTCCACTCCTGACCGTTGCACATTTTGTAGGCCACCACAGCATTCTCCGTTGTGACTGGGCCATGACGCCTCCACAGGTATGCGTGCTCAGCGGACATGTGTCTTGTTTCTGTGTGTTTGAAGGCCATGTAGCATATGTCGTTGATTCAAGAGTCACCCCGAAAAAATGTGCCAGGGATGGATATACGTAAGCCCTTCATACTGCAGGATGCTTTTCGATCCTCAACACGTTCTACCAAGATCCTAGATTAGTTTTGCAGACATGAAAGACACTTACTTTAGGAGCTGAACACTCTTTGTGTTGAGAGGCTCGCTTCAATATGTGGTTGTGGATGTGATGTCGGTGGCCTTTGAAGATCTTCCGCCCAGTGATACTTTGATCTTCTGCTACAACAATCTGGATCAATTGCTTGACCCGAGACTCCTCACCAAGTGTGCGTTCGGGATCTGGAGGCAACGGGGCCAAGCCTTCTGCGAGCATGTTTTCGTTTCCTGGATGTCAACAATGCGGAGCCTTCCGCCGAACGAGGTGAATCGGGTCGGTGAACGTTTTTCTGGCAACACATTTCTTACACGCTGCTTGGCCCTTCTCTATGTTGCCGCCCATGATTTGGAGGATTTCATCCGTGAAGACTATCGTGTTGCAGGCAAGTTTCGCTTTCCTGAGTCTTTCTCCGACTTCCATGACAAACGCTGGCCTGAGGATGCCTTGGAAGATTTTCTGCACCAGACGTTTGCAAGTTTAGTGATCGAGCTCATTCGGGAGAAGATGGTTGTTCGCACAGTGCAGGAGTCCTTCCCATGTCAATGTGTGACTGTCAAAAGTGAGCTTTGGAAGCTGGTGAAAGGGGAGAAATTGTACAGGAACCACCCAGCTAGCTTTTTGCGAGGTCTACATGATGGGCTAGGAGCAGACCTGTTGATGGCGTTGATCGACAAGGGTCTGCCGAGATGGTATTGGGCCAGCTGCTTGGGCCCGTTCAATGACAATCTACTCCAGTACATCATTGAGCCAGCAACGGATCTTGTGGCCAGGGACGGGAAGGAAGAAGCCGAAGGAAGGCTGTGCATATGTTTAGCACACAGATTCAGCTTGGAAGAGTTGTGCCATCGGAACCAGGATGGCAGAAATGCCCTGTCCTACGCTGAGGAGTTTGCGGGGCACTTTGAAGGCAGAAGGGCCTTTCTCTTTCCAGAGGATGGAGCTATTTGGATTCAAGTGCGTGATGTGATCAAGCAGGAGATGGAAACACATGCTAGGGCATTTCAGGGCAATCTGCTAGCCTTGGTTGAACTGACACGGTCTGTGCGAGCTGGCCTAGGTGGCAACCTGGCTTTGTTGAGAGTTTTAGTACTGCTTCTGTCCGGCCTGTGTCTAATTGGATGCGCCATCATGCGCCTTCAGGTGATGACGACTCTCTTGAATCGCTTGCCGCATTTGAAGAGCAAATGTGGCAACGAGCAGCAACTGCTCGAGAGGACTGGCTGAGGCAGGGGGTAAGTCAGTGCCCACATTCTCTAGGCCTTCGTGATCCTTTGTGTGTAGTGATCAAAGTCTTGATTCGAGACTTTGTAACTTCGTTTTTTTTGTGAACAGCCACGTCCTGTTCGGACCATGCCGCGCAGGATGGGCTGGAGGTTTGTCGAGCGCAACAAGAACAGACAGATACAGGAAGTTCTGAACTGGCATTTCCAAGCAGTGGGACGTGGCATCCGAGCATGACCTCTTTCATTCTCTTGATGCAGACCATTTCATGTAGGTCTGAACTGGTTGTCAAGACTTTTGCATCAGGTCAAATCAGTTCAGCAGCCGGTTGTGGCACGTGTGCGTGCAATCTCTGCTTCAATCTTGTGGCGGCATATACAGCAATTGAGTTGATGAGGCATATGCTATGTATGTGTATATATATATATATACACAGAGGAAATCTTTGATGTGTAGCTGCCACGAGAGCTGGAATGGCCGCATACGGCCTGGAATGATAGGCGTCGAGTGCAAGGCAGGCAGAAGACATTTCCCAGGACTGCCCTTCTATTTGTTGCCCTGTGCGCCTTGCACTTTCTACGTCAATGTCAATGTCACATGACCAGATATGCCTTTGCAGCGCAAGTGTGCAAAACAAGACCGGCTGCAAGTTGGTGCCAGGGCATTCCTTGTGTTGGCGTTTCTTTATATTCAGAAAGCAAGGCATGGCCAGGGGGCCCAGGAACTGGCAGCTCCCTGACGTGCCCTTCTCAGGCTTGGAGACTGTTCTGAGGAGGTTTGGGCACGTCATGGTGTGCCGGGATGTAGCAGGTAGGCTCCAAGACACGCAGCCACCCTCAGCTTCCGTTGGAAAAGGCTAGACTTCTGCTTTATGCCATGCTGATCTCTACATTGGACCTTTATTGCATGGCCGATGTCGCTGAGGGCCCAAGCCTCTAGCAGTGTGGTTTTTCCACTGCCGAGTGGCTGAAGACAGCCCGCCAAGACCATGCAACCCTGAACAGTGTGCTCTCAACCTCTAATCACAACGCATTGATATCTCGATTCTTGCTCGGTGACCAACGCGATGCCCGTTCAAACGCCTGCGCCAAAGTGCGGGGCAGCACGCAGGCACCGGCATGTGCTTGACTGCCATCCCAGCTGGGCCAGGGGCACCACATCCTGAATTTCAATCGAACCCAAAATTATCCTCCTCCCTGCCATCCATTGTTCATCGGCTAGTCATCCCATAGTATCCCTGCATACTCACTGCAGGTTCACCTAAACATCCATACCTTGAGACAATCCAAGCATGATCAGCATGCAGGCCCTTGTCGAAACCTTGAAGGCCACTTTGCGACAATGTACGATCCAAAGGGGGTCCCCTTGACATACATCTCCGTAGGACCTGTCCATGGCTCAAGTGTTGGGAGCCGCCAATGTCACTGCTGACCACCTTGGCTGCATCAGCTTTTATGGTGTGCACCATAGCTCACGACAGCAAAAGCATGAGCATTGCGATGGTGTTCGAAATGAGCTCGTGGTCCAGCCAGCGTGCGCAAAAAAGTGTTTCCTAATGTGGTCGCGTCAGTGAGATGAGGCGTTACGGCCTGAAATGAAACCGAGATAGCTGGCGTCAGTACAGTCCGCGTGAGCTTTTCCTTGGGCCGCATTAGCATCGCGACAGTCTTGGCGATAGAACCAAAAATATAATCCCCTTGGGTAGATAGAATATGGGGTTATGTGGATCCTTATTCTAATATACCCAAAGCCATCTTCTATCTACTGAAGGGGGACTGTAAGAACCACAAAAGCTTGAAAGGGTTTAGGCCACGGCTCACCGTGCACCCCAATGAACCTGCTCATGACCTCTAGACCCATCTTCAACCCCAAACCCTCATGATGTTGGTTTTCAAGCCTTTGGGAGGCGCCATGCCGTGGGAGACGCTCGGCGCGCCGTCAGCGATCTTCGATCTTCCCGGAAACAAGGCCGTGGGGATTTAGGGTTTACAGTTCATGGGTTACAGTGTGACTGGGGGATGTAACCCATACTCACTCTAAATGACAATGTAGACACATGATTAATAAGCCCCCTTCCTTTTAAGGCCCAAATATTAGGATCCTTATTATAACCTTTATTAAGGGGAGGGGGTTTATTGATCACGGGTCTGGGTTACCGTTGCTGATGGGGGGTTTCAAGGCTCAGCATTTAGGATTTAGGGCGGGTTGACCCTGGGGCCCTTAGAGGGATCAACCGCGGAGTAGGTGGGAATTTCTTGAGGCCACCCTACATGAACTGTAGTCTAAACTCCTTAAAGGGGGGATATATAGGGGATTCTATAGGGGACTATGATAGGGCTTATTAAGGGGGATACTAGGAGTTTAGACAATGGCTCACATGATCCCCCTAGGTCGGCCCTCATAATGACTTGACAGTTCCTGCAGACTCTTGGGATCCCTCAGTATTGTTTCAATTGTTGAGAAACTCCGGCATAGATTAGGTGGACGCCCCACCCAGTGATAGTGACTATAAGGGATAATGGTGATTATATTAGGGTCCTTGTATAGTCCTATTATACGACTATTACAGGGTGGGGGGTCCTCCTAAGGCATAGAGATTACGCGGAGATGAGCTGGATGATGGGGGCGCACATGAGGCAGATGATGCAACCATGATTTGGCAATACTAGTCAGAACAGTAGCATGAGTTGTTGTAGTGACCATCGGAAGAACTTTTGAGACACTAAGCTTGTGTGCCAGCACGTTGCTCCGGCTCCTTCAGTCAAACATCCCAGCACGACGGGTATTTCTTCAAAGCCAAGCTCCTCCCATTATAAACCCCATGATTCATAATATGCTATATAGATCTATATAGTAGTTTCCATTTTCTTCTCCATTATCCCAATATATCCCCTATATAACCCTATATAATTTCTATATAACCCTATATAACTTGTGGGATCCTGAGTTTGAGGACCCAAGCAAAAGGGGTCATAAGTCTGTATACGCTCCTGTGCGTGTAGCGGCCAGTTCGCGCAACAAGTACTTTTCGTTATCCTTCGCTGAGCTTGCTATTTAGTCAAAGTCAGGATTTGAAGGGACCCCTTTGGGGATGTACATAGTATATATATGAGCTATGGTCTAAACTCCTTAAACGGGATATATAGGGGATTATATAGGGAACTACTATAGGGGTCATTAAGGGGGATACTAGGAGTTTAGATTATAGCTTTTATATATATATATGTACACTATGGATTCTGGGGGGAAGTACTAGGGAATATGCTACAACTTCAGTCAAAGCGCTCATTTGCGTTCAAGAAGCAGTAAGTAGCGCTACTGACCGTTACTGGCTCCTGTGAGCTGGTTTTTAGAAACTCGCTTCTGTGCCGGAACCGCTGCTTTGAACTGCCGACTGTTTGGCAGCGCTGTAGTTAGGAAACATAAGCTAAAGCCTGACCTAGAACAATTTTCAGATGTAGGAACACTTTGATGACGATGTTGTTTTCGTTTCCTGCAAGGAATGTGCGGACTGCAAAGCTTACGGTCCAAACTGGGCGTCATGGAACCTGGGAATTCTCGTTTGCCAAACCTGCCGCTTTGCCGCGATCTGGATTTGACTGGGAATGTGTCGTACAGGGGCCTGCACAAGAAATAAAGGATTTCTGATAAATAGTAGTCTCCATTTTCTGTTCCATTATCCCAATCTTACCTAATATTATCCAATATTATCCAATATGCCCTAATATATGGCAAAGTGATTAAGTGGCCATGTCGTGATGCTGAGCTATGGTCTCAAATCCTAGTATCCCCCTTAACCACCCCCATAATACTTCCCTGTATGAGTTATACTGTACTCTAAATTCCTTAAAGGGGCTATGTAGGGGATTATTTGGGGGACTACTAGACAATAAGGGAGATTAAAGGGGGATACTAGGAGTTCAGACTATGGCTCATAGAATCCCCTACAGAAGGAGTTTAGACTATAGCTCATGTGTCGCACAATCAACGTCTCGTTCGGAATTCCATGTCGTGTACTTGTGAGGATTCGAGTTGTGGCACGCATTTTTGAACGCTGCCAACCCGAAATCTAAGCATTTGCTGGGGATCGTTGGGAATGTGGGGGGGCACATGGTAGCAGCTGGTAGCATGATGACAGCTGATGACACATGGGACATTTTTTTGCACAGTACTGGTACCAGAAGAGGGCTGGACTGTTTTTTTTCTTCGAGGCGGGTTCCACAGCCATATAAATACAAGCAGCATGATCTCTCACGAAGCATCGTATTCTGTCCGACCTAGGGCCAGCGCGAAATTCCAAGCCAGAAATCCTGAGGCATCTAGAATCAAGACCCGACACTTGTGTCTGCAATACTCGAATATCCCAGCCCTGGCATGGTTCTTACAGTCTTACAGTTTACTGATTCGTTCTTTTGCATGTTCCCCCAGAGAATGAGATTCACATTGTATTGTCATGAAACGGACGCATAATCCTAAAACCTAAACCCGCAGCCCCAAACCCTAAACCCTAAACCCTAAACCCTGAGCCCTAAACCGCCCTTCTCGAGGTTCCGGAGTGCATCGTCACCTCGGGGTGCACATCTCGAAGGTGACATGGAAAAGAATGAAGTGGGGAGGGGCAACACTATAGTCCCCCCTACGTAGATAGAATATAGGGTTTAGGGTTTCGGGATAGAATATGGGGTATGGGGGGGTCTTATTATAATGTACCCAAAGCCATATTCTATCTACTTAAGGGGGACGAGGGTCTTGTTGGTCCTATGCCTTGGGTACAGCCCCGACTCATTAACAGTTGGATAATATTCAACTAATTATATGGGTGATTGTCAAAATTATGGTCCCTTTTTGGGTACCCTAAATGTTAGGTGCCGTATTATTATAGGGATCCAAAAGGGGACCATAATTTTGACAACCACCCATATATAGGGCTTTTTAAATCACAGACTGTTAATGGGTGGGGGCCCACAATGGGTTTGCAAGAGCTTTGCATGGGGTGCGGAATCCCAAAGAGCATGGGCTTTGGGTTTCTTATCTGTTCTCACAAAAGTAGCTTCCATTTTCTTTTCCATAATCCCCATGTGACCCATATACGATATATACCCTTATGTAGTTATATATCCCCTAAAGCCTGGTCTTGCATGTTGAGCTGCTTTGACCTCGCAACAGACCAGGCCTGCCGTCCAGTTTCCCATACTTGACCAGAAGTTTCTGAAATCTCTAAAGGGTTTAGGGTTCAGTTAGGGTTCAGGGTTCAGGGCTTAGGGTTATACCCAAATAATGGAGAATCAAACGGAAAAGAACATGAAAAATGAAATGGAAACTAGGGAACATATATCGGCGGGAGTATTAGGGGTTATGCCAACACAATCTCTGCGATCATGATACTGCAACTTGGTGACCTGCGCTCCTAAGTCGGGCTTGTACAGGTGAAGTCCGCTACAATGGACAAGTGGAAGGAAGACCAGGCAAGCACAACTTATTGCAGGAGTCGAAAGAGTTGGGATGTAGGAGGCTTTGAGGTTCAGGGTTTTCAGTTTCAGGTCTGTGCTTGATTTCGGAGAAGGTCTATGCAAACTCAATGAACTTTCATAAAGAACATGGCAACTACTAGTTAGGGTTTAGGGTTTGGGGTTTGGAGCAACTCGCAGAATTTTATAGTATATTATGGTGTATTATATTATAGAAGATTACGGTATATTACATCATGGTATGTTATGGTATATTGTAGTATATTACTGGGACCCTAATATAGTTGCGGTATAGAGGTTTTGTCAGGCTTGGGAGGTTGGAGTTTTACGAGGGACATATGGTGCAAGAAGTGGAGGTTGTGTGAGGATTACCCGCAATTTGGGGTACCATTTTGGGGGTCCCAATAAAAGGACGCGTATTTTAGGGTGTATATTGGATCTCCCTATCTACGCTTAACCCTAAACCCCAATAGGATCACCTCATGACTTTCTTAAGGGTTGTGGCAAGAAGATGGAAGAGTCTCGACATGAGCTGTAGTCGAACCTCCTTACAGGGGGTTATGTAGGGGATTATATAGGGGACTATTATAGTGTTATTAAGGGGGATACTAGGAGCTTAGACTATAGCTCACATGAGCTTCACAGAAAACGGGCGCCTTCCGGGTGTCACTGTGTACGGTTTTAGGGTTAAGGGGATGTCATGAGGTCTGGAAAAAGACCGCAGCACAGCCAAAGAAACGCACCCCAACAAGGCCAAATATCCAGAAATTTCATGTCAATGGTGGTGAGAACTTCCAGAAGTGTAGCATCAGTAGTAGCAGGAGCCACAATAGCAGCAATTGTAGTCGCAGCAGTAACTTCAACAATGCTACAGCTTGACAACCCAACATCATGAGCCGTACCCTCCCCAAATTATCCAGGGGTAAGTTTGAGAGCATTTTTGAATGCTTAATGCTTATGACCCGTAATCCCTGTATAATCCTTATCAAGCCATAGAAAATCAATTTTTATAGGGCCCCCAAACTATCGCGGAACCTGAAAATGGGTCGTGTGAAGACTACTTGTCCTTCGAAGCGGGGTCCGTTTAGGAACCCCAAGCCCTAAAGGGTTTAGGGTTTAGGGTTCCTAAATCTTTAAACCCTAAACCCCTAATCCCTAAACCCCTAGACCCCTAAATCCCGAAATCCCTAAAAGCCCTAAACCCAAAAAGCCTAAACCCCTAAACCCCAAGGCCATAGTCGTCTTGGCTAAGGGTAATATCCGAGATGGCTCGCCATCAGCTGGACACCCTTCAGCATCAGCATATGGGCGTTTCCAATGTCGGGGCCGGTATCGGACTCCCCTTTTGAATGACTCTAGTATATTGGGGTGTATGCGTTGCTTGAAATCAGAGAAAAGTATGGGTCTCTACATGTAAGATGCTATCATAATGCGAGACCTTGTAGTTGCTTGTGAGGAAAAAGACAGGCAACATTTCAACGTAGCTGAAATAGCGGCCAGCATAAACTCTTGCACCAAATGCAATTTCGGCATGCATGCTAACTCTTGCTAATTAGTCAGTTCGTTGTCCCCCTTTGCGATTCTGTCGGCCTTTGCAGACTATCCCGTGCCTCACCATCGGCAACGAGCGCTCCAACGCTTATTACGAGCATCTTGGCAATGTCAGATTCAAATGTAGGTTCAAGCTTTGAGCAGTGATTGCCGTGCTCGGAGTTTGCCTATTCCGCTCTCCAGCGTCAAAATTGTTGCGCACGTTGACTTGTTGTTGACGTGTAAGCTCTGTTTATGAACTTGGCTGGCTTCAGGTACAATGTGCCAGACGGTGCCAAGTACGTGTGCAAGTCGCAAGCTGCCGCAGGCGTTTTGCTTGCCCGTTTCTGTGGGACTTACACGGTCTACGGTTGAGGGCTAAGAATACATTGTTGTATAGGGATTGGTAGGAATGACGTATTGGGGTTGAGTAAGTTAGTGTTTAGGGTATGGATTCTTTTTTGGTCCGTCATTGAGAAAGATCCGTTAGGCGTGCTTTCGATTTGGTCCAAATTCGCCTCAGTCTCGTCTCTTAGCACTTCTCCCCATAGTTCTGGTTCTCACTATTGCTATGATGATGACAGTTGCTATCACCATGAATATTGCTGACACAAGTTACAAGTATTATCCCGTTTCCTATGACTTTCCAATTGTTATTTCCATTTCAAGTCTTATTACCTTGGCTATGACCATTACTATGATCTTTATTGTGGCCACTACTATGATCATTATGAGTATCAATGCTATGCGTGACAATCATGATGCATACATGAGGCGACAAGATCGACCCTGTGGAGGCGCGGAAAATGGAGCGCTGGATTCGCCCCTCCCTTGGTTGGACAAAGGTTGTGATGGGAGTTTCTCGAAAAGCTTCCTCTCGAATCCCAGAAGATCCCTAAACCCTAATACCCCTAGGATCCCCCAGGCCACCCTGTCTCGACACATGCCCAAGTATGCTTGTTTTGGGATTACAGTATATGTGGTGAGGATTTAGGGTTTCGTAAATGGATGATGATTGTGGACGCTGACGCATAGGGACTTTGCGAGGACAAATAGGATGACTCCCAAAGGTTCCATCCGATCCGGATCATTATGAGACTCTCCCATCTGCTTGTTCGTGCTAACATGAATGCGAACGCAAGCGATAACGAAAGGACATGGCAATTAAAAGGCTAATGATGGCACGAACCAACAAATTGAAAAGAATTGAAGTAGTTACATTCCCTGTCTTAGCACCAGTAGGACAAGCAATCATCTTTGCCCCGCTGTTGCTGTGGGATGATAGAACGGCTGAGGTGCAAAGTACGAGACCAAAAAGTATGCGCAGCCCGGGGTGGATCCGCCCCATGTGCGTCTGGCTCGAGGCAAGGAGCCAAGTTGCAGTGGGCTTTGCGCATTTTTGTTCTTCCACTTCCTCATAGCAGTTGTTGGCTGTCTTCTTCTTCTTCATTCCTCAACCGCTCTGGCCAATACAAACTTGTAAGTGTCTTTGTAGGACTCATGTTTATTTTTACCAATATTACTATTACTACTATTATTAGTTGGGGGCTTCGGATTGGCGTGCTTTTCAGGTGAGTCTCTGGATGGCAACCAGGCAGGCCAAGCAGCGAAGCGAGAGGAGGCGTGGTCAGAAGACAAATGAACCATAGTCGAAAGTCCTTAAAGGGGGCTATACAGGGGATTATATAGGGGACTACTATAGGGGTTACTAAGGGGGATACTAGGAGTTTAGACAGTAGCTCATTTTGGCGAGATAATACTTGTTATTCTGGGTAGGCCCCTGGGATATTTAATATTTTCCATAATGGCTTTAATAAGGGACCCTATATACTAATATTTTCAAAGGGTTTTAGGGGCCAACCCAGTATTTTAAAGATAATGACAGCTGGTACTAAACATATAGTAGTGATAATAATGATAGCAAGTATTAATAATAGTAGTGATACTGTAGCATCACTGCCAAATACTACCGCTAGTACTACTGGTACCAGAAGGACTAGTTGTAGTGTGAGCAGTACTAGTAGCGCGAGTAGCCTGAGCAGTACGACTGGCACGAGTAGTATGAGTGCCTATCGTAGTTGTCAAAGTAGAAGGAAGCAGCAGCTGCGGCAGCACCACGAGTAGCAGCAGTAATGTAGTACCAGGAGAAGTGATAGCAGCAGCATGAGTAGGAGTAGGAGGAGTAGGATGAGGAGAAGTAGTGGCAGCACTTCCCGTCTGGTGGTGGTTGTGGTGGTGGCTGCAAGCAACAGCAGCAATTTTTGAGATGGTGTGGAGGAGGGCCCTCTTCCCGAGCATCTCCTGTCAGCTGCTCGCATGTTGGAACTCGCGCGTTGGCAACGTAATGCAAGTACCTTACTGAGGGTTAGTAGGGAAGAAGGGAATATAATCCCTATGTAATCCCTGTACAATACCCCCAGTACGTTGCAGGTATGATTTTTTTCCTAGCAGGCAGGGGAGTAACTTTTGGCAACTGCCCATGTCAATGCGTATGCCAGCGCAGACTGTGCCATTCTCTTCCCGCCCAGGTTGAGGTCTCTCCTGTGAGTGAAAAGAGCGAGAAGGACAAAAAGGAGAAGAAGGACAAGAAGG